ATCTGTTGTTATCTACTGCATTATGTCCCCTTAAAATGGATATGGTTCGATCTAAAATGTCGGGATTTGTTTTAATAAATTTATATGCCGTGATATTATTACTGTAATGAATATTATGATTATGAACAAGAACTTTCTACTTACACAAAGAATTCATGCAATATTTTCAAAACTGTAAGTTAATATTTTAGATCTCCACGAAGGCACCATCGAGCCAGAGTTAAAGAGGAAGATCGCTCTAGCCTCGAGTGCCTTTGGAAACCTGTCTGATATTTGTGCTAAGAAATGACTAAGTCCTACAAAATTCTATCTACGTCTTGTCTCTAGGATGCAGTGTTGGCTTTGACGCATTATCCGGGTTAAATTGCAGGACCTCGTAAAGAATGAACCTCTTCTTTTTGGGGCACATATACCAGTATATGTGGAATGTGATCTCAGTATATGTGGAAATTCATAAAATGAGGTTGGTCTTGTTACACAACTGATTAATCATGCACCATTTGCTTCAACCCATTCGCCTCTCATGTCGAGAGACTCGATCAGACGGCCAACACTCAACCTGGAAGAAAAAGCTAGAGTTAGATTTTGGAGAGGAATATTTCCCTTATACGATGCAGTGGCCGTTGCCTAAGGATTGAATTGTCGAAAAAGGGTGAATGCAGCGGACATCACCATTCAAGACGTTCTACTTATGCAGGATGAAGGTCCCACCATGCACCAACAGCAGATTAATAGCAGAAACGAACGTCTTATCAAGCAATGGCCTGACCCCGCTAATTCTTCTGAACTGACCCATTGAGTACAACGGTCTCATCGGCGATAATTAGTCAAATGCAATAATGCAAAAATTTTTGGTTTACTGTTTCAACTGGTTCGTCGAAAGCTGTTCTTCAGGCAAAATTCATAAAACGAAACGCAATTTTTGATTACATTTTATGTTATGCATTTTCGTTGGTTCTAGAGATCAAAACTTTTGCCCTAAGCGTACAGAATTCACCTGAATAGAATCAAATATATTACAAGGGCATAACATAAATGCTCCATTATTAGACTATGCGTAACCAATTGTTACATCATTAACATTACGCTGAAAATGCATAAAAATTAGGAACCTGCCTTATGGCAAATAAGAATGTAACACAAACAGACGTCCGCAACTGGAAAGGATAAGCGGTCACCGAAACCGACTGATTGACCGATACAAACAAGCGCTTATTTCATATTAAATAGTGAAAGTGAGAGTGAGGGTAAAAGTGCGGATGCATAAGTTTGTGGATCTTAGAGAACAACATCGCTAAGCAGTCAAATGTCAACATCCGTATCTGTGCCTGAAAATCTAAAGCAGAGGTGAATGGATGAGCCTCAGCTGATTTTCGAAGAAACAATGCTTAGCGTGTTGCCTTCTTAACAGTTG